GTTGTCCCTGTGATGGACTGGAGACCTGTCCAGGTGTCCCTGTGATGGACTAGAGACCTGTCCATGGTGTCCCCCGCCTCTCACAGTGATTGCTGGACATGGGCACCAGTGACCCCCGCGAACCAACAAGGAAGAAGCGGGTAAAGATAATGGATGGATGGTTGGATTTAAAATGTTTCTTGAATTTTTGATTGGATCCATCCAGCAGGGATGTTATTAAACAGACATTAAGGGACATTAAACAGATGTTTTGTTGAATCTTCAGATTGTTTCAGACATTGTGGTTTTCTTTTAGAAGCTTAAAGAGCTGGATTTGTGCTGTAGTTTGTGTGGTGGCAGTCAGTTCAGGGAATTAGACAGGATTCAATCTTAGACCATTTAACATGCTTTATTTCAGCATTCAAAATAATTAAAAACATCTCAATTTATTATACATATACAAAATAGGTACAGATCCTTGTGATGTTTTTCCCCATTAGTGTACCTTTAAAATTCACAACCCATGTCTCTTTTTCTGGCCCTGATGTGAATGTTTTAATTTTGGTTGTTGCAGGAAACAAATTAGAAACAGCTGTGGTTTCATGTTAGCAGCAAGAGTGCCATGCTGGCCTGACTGTAACACTGCACAACAGTGTCACGGGACCGGACAGCCTGCATGCCTCAGATAAACAATAGCACCTTAGTTGTTTCAGCTTCTGTTGAAAGTGTCAGCAAACCTCCACTGACTGCCACAACTAAAGCAGGCTTCACTTCAAAAACACTTCTTACAACTGGAATTAGTTTCTATTTTGAGGTAGCCATAACATCCTTAAAAAAAGGTTTCAACTTGTGTTTCTCTGCTGGCAGTTTTAATGTAGCTTTTCTTTCAGAATTAAAAAAAGGAGAAACAGCCGATGAAAGACGAAAGCAACCACAAGAACAAACAAATCCCAGCAGCTGCAGGTGGTGTTAGGGGGCGCTGGCCACCTGGTAAGGGGCAGGCGGAGCAGAGGAGGGCACAACAACAAACACAAACATATCTGTCAGTTTCACCGTTTATTCATCAACACCTGAAATGTGGTACAAAGCAATTCTGTCTGTTAGGCTTGTCCTGTCACTCCTCAGAGGCGTAGAAAAATACAAAGTCAGTTGTGTGTTTCCGTAAACTCCAGTGAGGCCTGGTTTGGCTGGAAGAAGATGGGAGGTTTTTTTTACACTTTACAAAGGCATATATTATTTTCTTGTTGCCAGTGAAACCAAAAGTCTTCTCTACAAGGTCCGTGGTGTTGGTGATGGCAAGAAGAACAAAGGAAGAAAAGTCCAAACGGAGAAACGTAGTGGTCCTAAACACTATGATGCAGACGCAACCACGCCGCCACCATCTTGTTGTTGAAGAAGTGCAGGTTTTAGGCAAAGTGGACCATCAGAACAACAGCCAAATGGAAACATGTAGAATCAGGAACGAGGGGGCAGATTTTTCAATCAAGTGACATAAAACAAATGTTTTGTTGGGGGTTTCTTATTGGGGTTGGGATGACTGCTAAAAAATAAAAAATAAAACACGCACACACGCTCACACACAACAACACTTTCAAGTCCAGATTTTTCTTTTTACAAGAAACAGACGGGTCCAATTTCAAGGCCAAACTCTTGGTCTGGAGCACCAACGTCCATAGGAGCAATATCAATAATGGGCAGACGAGATGTTTTCGATGTCTTGTAATCGATGACTGTCTTGCCCCATGTTCCGGTGTGTGACTGCAAAAAAGACAAAGTAATATTAGTTTCAGAAGTCAAAATGATTGAATCCCTTTGGTTGCTTATCTAGTTCTATCAGAGGTCATATCTAAAACACTTTAAAAACAAGACCAGCTGAACAACTATTGGAAAGAAATGTTTTTATGTCAGTTAAGAACAAATTCTCAATTAAAAGCTTGTTCAGCTGTTAGTCAGGAAGAGGTGGAAGAATATGTTTCCTCACCGTACAGCCATCTTCCAGGACACTGTAGGTGAAACGGCTGTTGCCCTCAGCTCTGATCTCAATTTCGTTGGAGCCCTGGAGGAGAAGGGCCTTCTTGAGGTTGCCAGCAGTGGCATCCATGTAGGCAATGCTGTTCTTACAGTGGTAGGTCACGTTCTGGGATGCCTCCGTGGACATGAGACGCAGGAAAGTCATCTGGATGTTGACGTCCTCTGGCAGGGAGCCCTCACTTCCGTACTCAAACTATGCAGGAAGGAAACAAAGGGAAGAATTACTGGTTGGAAGTGTAAGAACAACGACAGAATCATAGAAGGAAAGATATGAAAGAGCTGGAAAAAAGAAGTGAGGCAGGGCGCTGTATGGAAGAGGTGTTATTGAATGCCCTTGAATTTCCAAGAACTCTAACATAGCTCAAATTTTAAATGAGGAAATGGAGGATGAAGTAAAAGTTAAGAAGTAAAGATTGTTGGTGTGAGTAAAGTAGCTTCATGTGTTTACCTGGAAGCCATTGTTCATAGCATCTCCGAACCAGACATGCTTCTTCTCCTTAATGTTCTTGCTCATGTACCAGTTCTTCTTGGCCACCTCAGGCTGGGTTGGTGATACGCAGGTCTCTCCAGTCTCCATGTTGCAGTAGACCTTGATGGCATCCTGAGTACAGCCTTGGTCTGGGTCAATCCAGTATTCGCCTGAACAACATCAAAGTAAAAGATAAAATGTCAAAACCTGGGAAAACTGTTCCAGACAAAGTTTTTAAAAATATACTGTGCCACCATTATCTAAGCTCTGTAAAATTATCATCTGCCAAAAGGCATGCACAAGCAAGACTTCAATTCTGACTTACCGCTCTTCCAGTCAGGGTGGCACATCTTCAGGTCCCTACAGGTTCTGGCAGGGTTCTTTCTGGTTCCATCAGGGCTGCGGATCTGCTCAATCTGCTGGCTCAGGCTCTTCAGGGTGCTGTCCACCTCCAGGTCGCGGTCACGGAGAACATTGGCATCATCGGCACGGAACATACGGAAGGGATCAGGGGCCTTCTCCTGGGGCTGGGCAATGAAGCCAAGGTCGAATCCACCACCAGGAGCACCAGGTGGACCAGCAGGTCCAGGAGGTCCAGGAGGACCCTAAGTGAAAACAGGGTTTGGTTAGTTTCTCTCTGACAGTTCAGTCTACTTGTGGGAAAACACAACCTCTACACTCCTACGGTTGGGAGAAACAAAGTAAATAGAGGAATGGAAGAACAAGTGGATAGTTGGACTCACAGCAGGTCCCATCTCTCCAGAACGTCCACGAGGTCCGGGAGGTCCAGTGGGTCCAGGAAGGCCAGACATACCATCCTTACCAGGAGCACCAGCAGATCCAGAAGGACCCTACGAAGATCACAGAGGAAATTAATGAAAGTTGAAATTTTCGGATGAATGAATCTATTTTGGAAACCCAAGTCATCATCAGTCCAGAATTTTAGAGAGAAAACTTACTCTAGGTCCAGCAGGTCCAGAAGAACCAGCAGGTCCTGCCTCTCCAGAAGGTCCCTATGAGTGCAAACAAAAACACAGGACTTGTTTTTGAAAGCAAAATATAGACATAATCTATATACAGTAATTTGGAGATATATGGTAATGTAACATACGGAAGGTCCAGGAGGTCCCTGTGCCCCAGTAAATCCTCTGTGTCCCTTCATGCCTCTCTCTCCAGCCTCTCCTGTCTCTCCCTTGTCCCCACGAGCTCCAGCAGGTCCCTGTTAGGGTACAGAAAATAATTTATTGTTATGTTCCACCCATTGTAATCATCTTTTAATGATGACGTTAATACTTACAGCAGGGCCACGAGGTCCAGCAGGGCCAGCAGGACCAGCTGGGCCAGCAGGTCCCTGAAACACAGAGAAGTCATTTTCAAATAAATACACACGATGGTACAACTTATTAAAAGGCTAAGCTAATGAGTAATCAAAGTGACTTTGTCACTCACAGTCTCTCCACGGTCACCACTCTTGCCAGCGGGTCCAACAGGGCCAGGGGCACCAGGGGGTCCAGGTGCACCAGGGGCACCAGCAGGGCCATTCTCTCCACGGTCTCCCTAAAATCAAAACATTAAAAAATATATATTGTCATCATTTGAAGGCAGAACCTCCTTTTTATTCACGGGGCTACATGTAATATAGATATTATTTCTCCTCACTAAAGATGTCAGCTAAGCATCTAGTGCAATCCAGATTGTTGCTCATGAAGGAACCTAGCAGCTGCTAGTTTAGATACTACATCTACAATCTTATGGGTCAAGTACACATGAGCATACCTTAGGTCCAGGGGCTCCGTCACGACCAGCAGCTCCCTCATTACCAGGGGTTCCCTACAACAAACCAAAGCAGGTTAACTAACAAATAAAAACACCTAGCAGTAGCAGGAAATTGAGACCGTGCAGCCTTGTTCCTGGTACCTCACGTCCAGGCTCTCCAGGGGCTCCGGCCAAACCAGGAGGTCCCATGGGTCCAGGAGGCCCACGCTCACCACCAGGTCCAGAAGGTCCTGGCTTTCCAGATTCTCCCTGTGGGTCACACATTTTCACATTAAGTTAAAATACCCTTAGATATTTGTAATTTATTTTCTAGTGCTTTGAACGGACAAAATCAAGTTTCACAGATTTAAAAAAAATAAATACCCCCTTCAGAACAGTTTGCATAATGTCCTCTGGATTTAACCCATCGCATGTGCGGTACACCCAGGTGGAGCAATGGGAAACTTTCAAAGCCCCCGGGGAGCATAAAAGGAGTAGGTGTTTTGCTCAAGGACACCACAACATATGGACATGGCAGGTAATCAAACCTGTGACTTTCTGGTCTCAAGTTGACTGCCATACCACTGTGCCATGACCACCCACTATATGATTTACATGTTTGTAAAGTTAGTTTAGCATAAAAAACTCACAGCAGGTCCGGGCAGGCCAGGAAAACCTCTCTCTCCTCTTTGTCCAGGCAGACCAACAATACCACGCTGTCCAGCAATACCTTGAGGTCCAGGAATACCAGCAGATCCCTGCAGGAGGTACCAGGGAGAAACAGGGAGAAGGAGGTTAGACAACAGAAACAGGAAGGAAAATAGACAGGAAACATGTTCTTATGCTGCCCACTTTCTCTGGTGTCACAAATGTAAATTTACAGTAAATCAAAAGAAAATAGTCATTTTTTTTAGTTATTTTAGCCCTGAGTTTGGGACATTTTTGAGTATTTTTTTTAAGAAGAACACCTACAGGAGAACCATCGGCTCCAGGACTACCCTTCTCCCCAGTAAGTCCTGGGGGTCCGGCAGCACCAACTTCACCAGGGCGACCAGCAGGTCCGGTCTCACCACGGTTTCCTTTGGGTCCCTCCTTGCCACTTGGTCCAGGAGGTCCGGGAGGTCCAGAATTGCCCTATAGGTTGGAAGAAGTGGTAAATCATAACAGTGCTTTAAATGTTGAACACTGCACTTCACCTTAGCAACAATAATTACTAAAAGAATTAGTGAGAAAGGCTTACAGCGGGGCCAGGAGGTCCAACTCTGCCAGCCGCGCCAGGGAAGCCGGTAGCACCCTAAGGAGGAAAATCACATCAGTTTACTGGGTCTAGAGAAAAACTTTATTGAATCAGTTCAAATTTTAAAAAATTCAGAACAATAGGCAGTTTGGCAGGTGGATTAGAGAGCAACCAGACAATGACTTACAGGAGGTCCAGCAGGTCCACGGGCTCCCTTAGAGCCAGTGTTTCCAACGGGACCCTGAAATTAAAATAATAATAATTAATTTACAAAACACTCTTACTTTTCATTCTGTGTAAAGTTTTTCTTGTATCATAAACTAGGTTTTACTGTTTGATGTCATACCTGAGGTCCAGCAGCACCAGTTGGTCCAGCAGGACCTGGGGCACCAACGTCTCCTTTAGCACCATTATCTCCAGGCTCTCCCTTAGTGCCAGGCTGTCCATCAGCACCCTGTAGTGAAAAAAGATGACGAAACATTTAGAGAAAAAAAAAGTTTCAAGCAAAAGAAAACCAAGTCTGAAAATGTTGCAGCATTCACGAAGAAAAAAAAACTTGCAGGAGGTCCAGCGAATCCAGCGGGTCCAGGTGGTCCAGCCTCACCACGCTCACCCTGTCAAAAAAAGAAAAACTTTTATTCCACATTTTAAAGATTTTGGATAAGAAAGTTAAAAAACTTACAACTAAATGTTTGCAATTAAGTAGACTGAAAAAAAAAATACTCACTGGAGCTCCACGGGCTCCTGCAGGTCCAACAGGTCCAGGGCCACCAGACTCTCCCTTGTCTCCAGGTGCACCAGCAGGTCCAGGAAGTCCAATTGGTCCTGTCAAGCCACGTGGTCCATCCTTACCAGGAGCTCCATCACCACCTTTGGGTCCTTGGTCACCCTGGATTTTTAGCAGTTAGCATTAGCAGTGATCCCACAGCTCATCGGATCTCTGGATTAATGAGGATCCAGCTGAGGGTTACTTGGTAACAAACATCATTAGATGGTGATTATGACAACAAACTGTCCTTCCTGTGGTTAAAATTAAAATTCACAATGCATACCTCCCATAGAAGTGATTAGGACGGTGTATTCTAAGAAGCATAAGTTTGATTGTGTATAGTGGGAAGTATTAAAGACTGCTATTGCGACAACTCACTCTGTCTCCTCTCAATCCTGGAAGTCCAGCAGCGCCACGCTCACCAGGCATTCCCTGCAGTCCAGGAGGACCCTGAGCTCCAGGAGCACCGGGGGCTCCAGCTTCTCCCTGAAGAACCGAAAGGAAAAAAAATCACATAGTGAATACGATTCAGGTAACCTAAACCCAATTAAAAGTCTGAAATACATCAAATGAGCCATGGTAACCTTAGCGCCTTCGTTTCCAGCAGCTCCAGGGGATCCACGGGCGCCAGCAGGTCCAATAGGGCCAGGAGCACCACGTTCACCAGGGAATCCTCTATCACCCTAAGAGAAAGAACAACAGAATGTGAGGTAAGTGCAGGTACAGGAGCAAGGAAACCATGATGACTGCCAGCTAGACCTTCAGAGTTTATTATGCTAATTATTATGCTAACATTGTAAGAGGTGGTGCACACCACTGTAGGTCTCTATCAGCTGTTCTGTAAATCAAGGCAAAAGCATGTCACCTCATTTTTATAAAAGTTATCCTGATTCCTTTAGCCTTAAAGCCAGACCACAGTGGTCTAATACTGTGCACATTACAAGGGTAGGAGCTTTCTAGTTAGTGATCTAACGGTTGCTTTCAAATTAAGGGGTTATTTCAAACTAAAAACTTGAACCAAATTCAAATAAGACCACTCTGGTGCGATCAGTCAACGTCTACTTTTAGAAAGTCTTGGTGCAAAACATATTTACATTATTTGGATGTTGAGAATTTCAGGTATTAAAATGCAATCATTACACACCTAAGAACAACACCAGTCATTATTTAATAATCCTCCTATCCTGAATGCTCTTGACAACAGATTATTAGGTGATGGTGACAATAGTGAACAGAAGCAACTTACTCTAGATCCAGCAGGTCCTGGGGCACCAGCCTCACCTGGCAGACCCTAGACACAAAGACAAATATAATGAAGAAGCTCTTTCTCTCAGGAGAATGTTTCAAACTGATCACAGTTAGTTGAGTCGTGTCTCAATTCACACCTGCTCTCCGGGCTTGCCAGTCTCACCAACAGCACCTTGGGGTCCAGGAAGTCCCTGGAATCCAGGAGCTCCGGCAGGTCCTGACTCGCCTCTCTCACCAGTAGGACCCTAAAGATACACAAAGAGGTGTCAGATTCAACAGCAGTGACCAGCAATTACCTTCCTTGGACCTGAAGTCTAGGGAGGGTTCTGCTAAGCGTGTGTGACTGAGTCATGTTACTTACAGCGGGTCCAGAAGGACCTTGAGCACCAACATCACCATCCTTTCCAGGAGCTCCCTGGAAACAAAGATGGCAGGGTTTTAGAAAGCCTGATAGTTTCTGTTTCAATCAAATCAAAGGTGAACCACTTACAGCAGGGCCAGTGGGTCCCATGACTCCTCTCTCACCAGGCTTCCCAGCCTCTCCCTGTACACCAACAAATATGGAGGATAACTTTTAGGAGCCTTATTCTTGGCGTAAACCTGGGAAGGTATATCACAGAGCTAGTGAAACACTCACAGCAGCTCCTTTGGGTCCAGGGAATCCCATGACTCCAGGCTGACCTCTAGCTCCAACAGGTCCAGGTGGTCCAGGGCGGCCATCTTGTCCAGGGGCTCCCTGATGGGAAGGTTAAATGAAAAATGAATTTCAGTGTGAACAAATGAGCTTAACGGTGCTGGATATTGTCTTACAGCAGATCCCGTCTTGCCATCAGGGCCAGGATTGCCTGGGCTGCCGGTCATACCCTGCAGACCAAAAGTCAGAGGTCAAGTGAGATCCCATGGATGAATACATTGTGTTCATGGCAGGGAAGTGTACCTCACCTTAGCTCCTGGGAGACCAGGCTCACCAGTGCGGCCAGGCTCACCAGTGGAACCTTTAGGACCAACAAGACCAGGGGCCCCACGCTCACCAGTAGCTCCCTATGAAGAGAGGAGAGTTAGTGAAAAATGAGTTCAACTGAAACAATTAATTTATTTTGTAGATGAAGGGAATGAATAGTTTCAGTTGTGGGTACTGTTATTTACTTTGGGTCCAGCAGGGCCATCAGAACCAGGGAAACCACGGCCACCGGGAGCGCCCTGTAAGAGGGAGAGAGAAACAAATCTCACAAGAAAACCAGTAACAGTTGAACAAACATCTTGAAAGCTTCAGCTGAAGGATGATGGGAGGTCAGGCTGATAAAACCAGGCCTGAGAGCAGAACGTACCCCCTGCTGGACTAAACATGCACCTGCAACTCCACATATACATCAAAAAACCTTTATTGTCCTGAACACTGGACATGATTAATGTCTCCAAATGTTTACACACAACAACCATTAGCCAACTGTATTATATAGCTGCAGCTGTGCAGTAACAACACAAATACTTTTAAAATACCAGTCAACGTTGAGTTTTGATTTCCAGGTGACTCCAATCGATGATTCAAAAAACAGAAAATAACTCGAAGCGATACATACACGCTCTCCAGGTGATCCACGAGCACCTGCAGCACCAGGCTCTCCTCTGGCTCCTCTCTTGCCTTCCTCTCCATGAGGTCCAGGGGGTCCTGCAACACCTGGAGCACCCTGGAGAGAAACCCATCCACAGAGAATGTCAAAGGCCAAATGCATCAAATACATTTTGATGTTTGTGCTCTGAGATGCTCTGTGGTAGACTTACAGCCTCTCCCTTGGCACCAGGCTCTCCCTTGGATCCTGGGGCACCAACCTCTCCCTGAGAAATACATGAAAATAAGAATAGGTGAAGAAAACAAACTACAAACAAGTTGATGATCAGCAGTGATTATTTCCTGTCTAGTCCTCAAACACAACACAAACAGCTGCTGCCTTGGTCAGAAGGTCTGCAAAGGTTCTGGTTGGCTCCATGGAGAGCTTTACTCACAGTGTTACCCTTGGGTCCAGGGGCACCAGCAGCACCCTGAGGTCCTGGGGGTCCACGTGGTCCAGGAAAACCAGGAGCTCCAGCAACTCCAGCAGCACCCTGCAGGGGGCAGCACATACAACAACAATATGACTGACAAGGAAAACTCAGTCCTGACTGGTTTGTTACTGACCCCACAATAAAAGTAAAAAAATATATTCAGTATTTTTTTAGACAAGGACTCACGGGGGCTCCTTTAGCTCCTGGAGCACCATCAGTTCCTGGGTTTCCCTGCAAGCAAAAAGAAGGGAACCAGATTTATTATTTAAACCAACACAAGCTAAATTATTTTACAGCTTTTAGGAAGTAAACAGATCTTAGAGCATCTGAATACGTTCAGGTCTAAACTCACAGAAGGTCCAGCTGGGCCAGCAGGTCCAGGGTTTCCAGGCTCTCCACGGGTTCCAGCAGGTCCCTCAGATCCACGAGCACCCTGTGGTCCAACGTCACCCTAGAAGCAGACAAATAAAGCAAGTAACAGGTAATTTACAGGTGTTGTTGTAAATGCAGGCAGTCTTTATAAAACTAGACTTTATGAAAGTCCTTTAATGAGTCAGTCAGTCTGTCTTTTTCCTGATTAACATCACCAGAGAGAAAGGAAGTGACTGATGTTGATGTTATGATGTGAAACTTTGATCATTTCATTAGAAATATTCATTGATATAGATTATTATTATTATTATTGTTATTGTTGTTGTTGTTGTTGTTGTTGTTGTTGTTGTTGTTGTTGTTGTTGTACCTTAGATCCGGGGCCACCAGGGAATCCAGGAGGTCCTGCGGGGCCAGTGGGACCCTAAAAGATACATAAAAATAAAATTTAAGTATCAAAGCTTCTTCCCAGCTGGAGCTGTAAACCAGATGTGATTTGTTCAAAGTGAGCTGTAACTTTAAAGGGCCAGTGTGAGGGCTGCAGTGCCACTTGGTGGCAGAACCTGGAACTACGTTTTTTTAAAAAGCCACATTTTGTTGGTTTTAAATCTGGAGCCTGTTTTTTTTTTTTCATCTGTCTCTTTAGATTTATTGTGTTAATACAGTGAGGCTGAACTGTGGCAGCTAATAAAGAAGCTGATCTTCAGCTAGTTTAAATATAAATCCTCCTTCTGAGAACATTTAAATCTTTTTATTGTCACACACTTTAATTGGCTGTAAATAATGATTTCATTTCTTTTATCAGGCAGGTCTTAATATGTCACACTGAAACTTTAAAGAATCCTTTTTGACAAAATGCAGTATATATATATATATATATATATATATATATATTCGCTGTATCATTAGGTAATTGTGGTGTGA